TTTACACCCCTAAAATATATAACCGACCCAAAAATAGATGCACACCTTAGATTTTAGATATGCTCGTAAAATAGGGTCTAAATACTTATGCAAGGCACGGTTTGCCACCCTCAAAGGCCCCGTTAATGTATATTAATCAGGGGTTTGTGTTGAATTTTTTTTTTTTCTGAAGTACCTTTTGACAAACAACCAGCCTTATACTCCTAAAGCTGTTAATCTTCCCTCTATCCCCCGGATCTTGCAGTTTAATCCTTAGCCCTAAAGCTTCAAGTTTTATCTTCCCTACCTGTAGCCTAATTATAAGAGTTCCAATTTTTTGCTCCCTCTCTAACTGCAGTCAGTCTGAAACATGGCCTTTTTCAGCTTGTTTAACTATCAGATCCGGTCACACTGCTGTATTACCTTCAGAGACGTATCATCCTTTTCATCTTCCACCGTCGGAGCTTTCTTATCTATTTGCATTTCAGGCGAGAAAGTGAGATCTGGTTATAAGTGGTCCCTGGATTTGAATAGGAAGACTTTTAATTGCATCGTGCAGCTTAGCCTGCTCTCCTGTGGCGCAGTAAAAGCTTCAACTCTGCACTGACGCAAGTGAAGTCCATCGTCGCACAAACCAGGATGAATGGCGCTTTGAGGGCTGTTTTAACTGAATGTCACAAAAAGGAGCACCTTAACATTAGCAGAGCTACATTAGGAGCTGGTAACTTAATAGCTCAGGATGCATGTTAATCTTTGTAAAGAAAGGGGATTTCTAGCTTTTTATATTGGCAGGATCATGCTGATATGTGGAGCTTCATTATAATAAATGTCTTGATTCTTCTCAAAGGTTTTTGTTGTCTTCCTTTCTCAGGTTTGTCATTGGCTCTGCAGCCAGCAGCTCCAGCAGCAGCGGCCTGGAAGCGTTCAAAGCTTACCCTGTCTTCAAGGAGATTGAGAACCATCTAAAGAAGGTTTTTATCTGCTTATGTATACACAGCTTAATACGTTAATTGGGTTGAGCTGAGCATTTAAAGGGAACTTTCTATGCAAAATTAAATGAATGCACTTAAAAAAAAAAGCAGGACTTAATTACATGGGGTGCTTTTTCTTCTACTACTGTAATCAAACATTTTTCCTAAGGAAAACTTGAAAGGCTTAAAGGTCTCTTAAGGTTCATCACACTGTTACCATCCGTCATCAAATGCTGTTACCCAAATGAGAGATGGGTCTAGATAAACGCTCAGATAGGACCCTGTTGACACAAATGGTGACACATCAAGTATGTTTGTTATATAACCTAAATAATTTATTAAGTAAAAAGTTTAAATCAGATGTAACCAGTTTCTAGGTTATAAACCTCAGCTGTGTGAAGTTTCTCACAGTCGCTAATTTGATGCTTTTTTTAACGGCTCCCAGTGCCCCCTGCAGGATTAATTAATTGGATGTAGAAAACCGTAGTTTTTAAATGTTAAACATGACGGTCGGGTTTTTCCATGAAGTTCTGGTAACACATCTGTTCTTTACTCACCAATGCCTTGCATTGCTGGCCTGCAGTTAGGGCTGGAGAGTACGGTCAAAACCTAGTTAGATATATTTCTTCATTTTGATCCATGCAATATAATTCCATTATTGATATAAACAAAACAAAAGCCTTACTATCATTTTTTTTATTATTATTGTTGCTATTTCTTTAATGCCTTGACATCACTGGGTGGGAAGGGTGGAAATGAGGGCAGGGGCTGGGGAGTGTAGACATGGGTGGGGAGGAAGGGTTATCTACTTTTGATGACACAAATTTGTATACACTGTACAAAATTTTGACTACCTGTGGTTGGTGCACATTTTCCTCCTCTAATGTAAAAAATGTGAAAAACAAAAATTGATCACAAAAAAAACAAAACAAAATAAAATCCTCTTAGAAAACTGCCAAGAAATTCCACAAAAGATGCCTGTACACACCACAAGTTTATTTTTCTGGTTTAATTCTAAAGACCCTCTACATTTGAACATTTTAGAAATAGCTTAAAAAAAAAAACATCTTTCATCCAGGGTTCCTACAGCATAAGGCAAGTTAAATTCAAGACTTTTCAAGACTTTTT